ATTTTCCCGATGGTTGCCCCGATGGTTGCCCCGATGGTTGCCCCGATGGTGGGCCCGACGGATGGTGGTTGCCCCGATGGTTGCCCCGATGGTTGCCCCGATGGTCGCCCCGATGGTTGACTCGATGGTCGCCCCGATGGGTGCCCCGATGGGCGAGCGCCCCGGCGGGCGCCCCGAAAGTTAGGTTGTCAGAGGTAGATAGATGCACAAACACCCTTAGTACCACCACCACCATCATTCCTAATGCACGTGCACTCAAGCCGCCTCGCCCTGCAGCGGGCCGCCAGCATCGACGCCGCAACTGCATGTTGCCGTGGAGTGGGCCGCGCCAACTCACGGTGCCAGACCCCGCTAGCGCCGTGGCCCTGGCTTGCGCCCGGTGAAGCAGCGCTACTCGCACAGCGTGATCTCCCGCGCTGGGCTCGCAGAGCTCAGCCCCGCCCGCGCGATGGCGGGCGAGCAGCTGTTCCAGGCTCTCAAGAGAGTTCCGGGCGCGAGGCACGTCGACTGGAACGCGTCGAAGACCTCGCAGGGGAACATCGGCAAGCGCGAGCAGGAGAGAAACTGCCTGGTCTACTCAGAGCGCGGCATCCCGATCCAGTCTTTCGAGTGGAACCAGCACTCGAAGGACAGTGGCTTGCGCTGCAAAGTGACGGCGAAATTCAAGGGCCCGCCGCAGGACGTGGACACGGAGGCATGGCGGGTTTCACGCGCAGTTGCAGAAGGCAAGGAGCTGTTGCCAGAGGTCGCGCACCAATGCGCGATGGACAGCTCTGCGCGGCTCGGCGGCGCGCCAGGATCTGCCGGCGCATCTGCCTCACAAGGCGCGGCGGATGACACGGAGGCCGCGCGGGTTGCCCGGGCCGCGCCGCAGGGGCCTGCAGAGGAGGGCGCGGGCGCGCGCGGCCCCACCAGCAAGCCGGCGGCACTTGGGGCGTCTGCTCCAGGCTCTGCCAGCCCAGCCCCGGGCGCAAGAACAGCGCCGCCGCCGCGTCCGCCGCATCCGTGAAGGGTCGCGCCGCCGCAAGTCTCGCAGTCCAAGATGCGCCAGCTATTCTTCGTCGCGGGGGGGGGCGGCGCTGTCGGCTCCGCGGGCGCGCGCCCTTCAGACGCGGCCCCATCCACTCTCCGCGCCAGATGCGGGGCCGGCGTCGCCCTCTCCCGAGACCGACGCGGACTCGGTCTCGAAGAAGCAAGGCCGGCGAGCCGGCAGCGGAGGCCGCGCAGGGCGCCCTCGCCCCGCCGCGGGGGCCCGCAGTAGAGGCCGCGGCCGCGCCAAGCTCTGCCAGCAAGCCGACGGCAGCGGGAGCCGCGCGGGGCGCCCGCGCCCCGCCGCAGGGGCCTGCAAAGGAGGCCGCGGCCGCGCCGGGATCTGTCGGCAAGCCGACGGCGCCAGCTCTGCCAGCAAGCACGGCGCAAACCCTCGCCGAGGCGTTTGCCGCTGAGGACTGTCGAAGAAACTATCGATCGGGGTGGCCCCGGCGACGCAGCAGCATAAGTTGCCGGCTTCGAGGGCACCGCGGAAGTCGCTGAGGACCCGCAGAGGCTGCCGATGATGCCGCGGCGAGCGCGGACGCGCTGCCGTCGCCCCCGCAACTGGAGCGGCAGCCGCGGCGCGAGCAGAGTTCAGAGCTGGCCCAGATGCAGCCCATCAAGGAGCGGGAGGTTGAACGCGCGCGCCATCGTTGCGTCGCGGCTTACCCGGAGGGCGCGGACACCCAGGCGGCCCTGCAAGGCGCCGCAGGAGGAAGGGGGCGATGGGGAGGGGGGGGGAATTGGGGGAGGAGGAGGAGGAGGAGGAGGGCGGCTAAGAGGATCATGGCAATGAGATGCCGCTGGTAGTTCCACCTCACTTGGTTTCGGACGGGCCGGGGGCGGGGGCGGGGGGGGGGGGGCGGCAGGGGGCGAGGGGCGGGGGGGCGGGGGGGGGGGCGGGCAAGACGGCGAGGACGGGGAAACACAATAGGAGCTGGAAGGAGCAAAGGCGGGGAGAAGGAAGGCGGGGAGCACTCGCGAGGCATGCTGTCCAGAGCGCGTTTGGAGCTCCTCGAGTTCGGGGGCGGCATCAACCCGTCCGAGTTGGAGTGGTCGCAAGGCTCTGCCAGCGATGGCGATCAGGAGTTCCTGGTCGGTGCCCGCAGGCGAAGGCTGCGGGCCGCGAATCCCATGCAGGGCCGAGGTCAGTCTGCGCGCCCCCGGGGACAGGACTCGACGTTGCTTGAAGACCTTCCCATGGGGCCTGCAGGCGCAAGCACGGCGAGCAGCACCTCGACTCCGCAGAGGGTCGTGGGCATGCGCTTGCGGGCCTGGCGAAGAAGCACTCGGGCGAGCTCGTCGAGCTGGATCGCAGGTTTGGGCTGGGGGCCGCGCGCTGCGGCGACAGGCTTTGCCGGCGCCGCGCCCCCTCAGAGAAGCGCGCGGCGGCTCCGCCGCGACGGCGGCGCGCCCGCGGAGAAAGTGGGCCCCGAAACTGGCAAACGCTGCAACGTTCGCGAGATCACAATCCAAATGGGCGAGGTGGCCCCGGGCGCGGCGCCCTGCGTCCGCGCCGAAGATCTCCGGCCAAACTGGCGCGCTCAGGTCACCTGCGCGCGCGCCCCATGGCATGGGGCCTCGGCCTTCGGGCGGCAGCGCGCCGGGGGGGGGCCCACGCGGGTTCTTGGAAAGCACTTCACGGGGCAGCAAATGCATCACTTCTACCGCGTACTCCGAACTGTGGGCCCCGCAGCGGGCCAAGGCCCCCAGTTCGCCAGGCTCTGGCAGCGGTGCCGGCGGCGCGGCGGGGGGCGGGCCCCCAGCGACGCATGTGCGGGCGCGCTTCGGCTTCGGCTTCGCACGCGGCCGCCATTGGCTATGATCTGGAAAACGCGCCGGCTTTCTTCTCTGAGGCCGCTCGCTGCGTCCACGCCCGCGTTCTGCGGGGCGCGCGCCCGCCTTGGCTGAGGCGCTCTTCCCCCCGGGATCTGCCAGGGAACGGCGCGTCGTCGACGTGCGCGAGGCCATGTTTCTCGACGTGGGGCGCCGATCACGCGAGCGCTGCGTTCGGCCCGCTAGTTGCGGGTGAGCTCGTTCGCATCACAGAGAGCGCTCCTATGTTCAATGGTGTCGTCGCGCGGCCACTGTGCGCGCGCGGCCGTTGTCCCGGGGGGCACGCGCTGGCCGCGGCCTCCATGTCGCGCATCTTCCAGGGAAGGGCGCCAGGGGCACATGTGCCGCGAGTGCGCAGAGCGCAGCGGCAGCGCGCCAGTCTCTGACAGCGCGCCTTTGCGGGTTTTGCTTCTGCGCTGTCCCGCCGCATGTGGGGATTGGCCAGGTCTTTCTCATGCGGGCGAAGCCCTTGCGCGCTGTCGTGCGCGCGCCGCCGGGTGCGCGGGGCTGGGGTGCGCGGGGCTGGGGCGCTCCCGAGGGCGGACAGCCCTCGGCAGCGCTGGGAAGCGGCCCGGACTGGCAGGGGCTCCAAGGCGGAAGCCACTGGCGCTGCGACAAAATCGACAGTGACCAAACATGGTGCCACTCAGCGCCTTTTCGCGGCACGGTAGGGGGCGAGTCCCAGTGGCAATAGAGTTGCGCCAGGCCCCGACGACAGCGACGGCAACGACGACGACGGGGATGACGATGATGATGCTGGGACTGCTGGTGGTGACGGGGGCGGAAGAGATTGTAATGCTGGCGATGGGAGCGCGACGACGACGACGACGATGCCGTCGGCCGCCCGCTTCGTGGTACCAAGCCCTGCCAGTGCTCCGAACACATGTCGGATTGCAGTAGGGCTGATTTTTCTTGAGCGCGCACCCGTTAGAGCGCGCATCACTAAGTGAAGCTGGCATCGCGTTGCGGCGCGTTAGCATGCACAATAACCATCATATCACATGTCCACCACCATCCCACGACCTTGCCATCACCACCAACACCACCGCCGCAATCATTATCACCACCAATCACCATTATCACCAACAGTATCAACTGTCTGGCTAGATAAATAGATGGGTAGATATATAGATCTGTTTGTAAAGGCATACGATGGTATACATATATATACATGGATAAGTACATGCATGGACATATGCATAGATATGTATATGCATGCGTAGATATAGACGGGTAGATAAAACCATCGCAATACAATATACGGATTCGTAGATGGGCCGCATGGTAGATTGGCAGGTGCGCGCAGCCAAGCGGCAACCAAACAAAACGAAAGGGGGGCGGGCAAAGAGCTGCCACGTACTCTGCTGTGCAGCAAGCAAACAAATATCACCCACCTCCGCTTTCTGCTGCTCAGTACGCAGGTGGCACATCAAAACCACCTGTTGCCGCCACCTGCGCAACAGCGCGGGTAGAAGCAAATAAACACGATATACGGCTCCTGCCGCCACCAAGTCGTGCGCGAACAATAAATACCACGTCCTCGCGCCAACCATCCCCACGGCGGTAGGCGGGACTCATTGCAAATAGACCGCCTCCCCTTCCCCCCCTCAACCTCCTTATCACCCGAAGGGTGGTCCCATCGGTATCAACGCTCCCAGTCTGATTCGATATCTCCTCAAGTCTCGAAAAATCTGCCCTCTGAACATTATGAACATTGATCTTCCGCACTCGGAAGGTATGGGGTGTGCGTGGGGCGCGCGTACGCCGACGGCGCCCGGATTGCACAGCCAAGCGCGCGAGCGCGCCTGGGCCCAGAGATTGCCCACTGGGGCCTGCAAGCGCGGCGATCGCACACAGAAACCTCGATTTGGTGCGCAAGGACACCCCACATGGCTCACGCGGGCCTGCAGCCACGCAGGCAATCGCCACCCCGGGCGCCCGAGGCGCATGGCGCACTGCTGCGCCCAGATTGCCCACCTGGGCGCGAAAGGGCATCCAATTGGGCGCACTGGCACGGGCGGTTTGTGCCTGGGCGGTTCCTGGAAGAGGCGGAGGAGGAGGAGGAGGAGGAGGAGGAGGAGGAGGAGGAGGAGGAGGAGGAGGAGGGGGAGGGAGGAGGGGGGGGGGGGAGGGAGGAAGGAGGAGGAAGAAGGACGACGAGGAGGAGGAGCAGCAGGAGGACAAGAACGGCGAGCAGGAGGGCCGCAGGCCCCAACGCTGCGGCGGCGAAGCCCCGCGTTCCTGACTCTTCCTCCTCGTCCTCCGCGTCCCCCTTTCCTCCTCGCTTCTCCTGCCCTGTTTTCCTCGTGCTCGTCGTCCTCCTCCTCCGCCTCCGCTTGCGCCTCCTCCTCCTCCTCCTCCTCCTCCTCCTCCTCCTCCTCCTCGGCCTCGCCAACGCCCACGTTCTCCCCCACCTCCTCCTCCACCTCCTCCTCCTCCATCCGTCTTCCTGATAGATGAATCCTCCCTGTCGCACCCCCAGACGTGTCGGTAGGGCGGGCCAGGCGCTTCGCTTGAGACTTCTCTACCGCTTATGATCTTGGTGATTGAATTATGCAGCGGTTTCGAGGATGGAGCACCGACGATGTTCAAAGTGTGGCTCTCGCCTCGGCCCCACGCGCGTTCGTCTTTTATTGCAGCAACTTCATGAATGGAGGGGGGGTTCTCAAAATGTAGCTCCCGCCTTAACATCGAGCACATTCATTTCGAAGCTTGCAATAGCCTCAAGGGCGGCAGGCCCAGCTGTGGTGGTCTCTCAGGGGAAACGCCTCCTGCAGTGAAGATGAAAGCTTGTAGGAATGTGGGAGGATGGGAAATGGGACGGGAGGGCGTATTGCAGCATAGATGATGCATCGTTGTTGTTTTTTTTTCTGGTTATCGTCATTCTCTTCCTCGTCCTCCTCCTCCTCCTCCTCCCATTCCTCCCCCTCCTCGTCATCTTCCTTGATCCTCGCGTCTCCCTGCTTCCCCCTCTTCCTCCTCATCCTCCGCCTTCTCGTCCTCCTCCTCCTCCTCCTCCTCCTCCTCCATTATTTTTCCCATATGGATAACTCTGCCCTGTCGCACCCCGAGGCCAGTCGAAAGGACGGGCTGGGCGTTCCGCCTGAGACTTCCCTGATGCCTAAAATTTGGCAGCAAATTCAGATGGAGGGCGGGTAGCTTCCAAACGGTGGCCCTCGCCTAACCGCGCGCACGTTCGTTTTAAGCATTCGTAAGAGCTTCACTGCTTGAGGGCGCGTCGTCATCAAAATCTGGCTCTCGCCTCAGCGCCGCGAGCATTCGTTTTAAACGTGTGCAAGAGATTCACGGATTGAGGGCGCGTCGGTTTCAAAATCTGGCTCTCCCCCCAGCGCCGCGCACACTCGTTGAACAACTATCCTGGCGAGGGGCCCAACCATATGCAGTTGTAGATACCGTCGTTGCGGCTATCGCCCTCGGGGGATCTCCTCATCGGGCCAGGAAGCAGGCGAGCGGGTGTGCCGATGTGGGGCGGGGCCGCCACGCGGGCGGTGCCACTGGCGCTTGGGGCGGAACGCACTACGGGGCCGCGAAAAAATGAGGGGTGCGCCGCAATAGGGCGGGGCCGCCATTCGGGCCTTCGGCGGAGCTCCCTATGGGGCATCGAAACGTTGTACTGGGCGGGGGGAGCTCCCCATGGAGCCACGGCGGAGCGATGTACTGGGCGGGCGTGGCGCATGCGGGCGGCGCCACTGGGGGCCTTGGTGGAGCTCTCCATGGAACCAAGAAGCGCTGTCCAGGGTGGGCAAAACGCATGCGAGCACCACCTTTGGAGCCTTCGGTGGGGCCCCCTTTAGGGGCCACGGCGCGTTGTACTGGGTGGGGGAACCGCATGCGAGTGCAGCCACTGGGGCCTTTGGTGGAGCTCTGTATGGGGCCACGAAACGCTGTAATGGGCGGGCGGTGTCGCTGGGGCCTTCGGTGGAGCCCCCCCGTGGGGGCACGAAACGCTGTACTGCGTGGTGGAAGCGCATGCGAACACCGCCACTGGAGCCTTCGCTGGCGCTCCTCATCGGGCCACGAGGCGCTGTCTTGGGGGGGGGGGGTCGCATGCGGGCTGTGCCACCTGGGCCTTCGGTTGAGCTCCGAATGGTGCCACGAAATGCCGTATTGCGTGGGTGTGGCGTATGCGGGCGGTGCCACAGGAGCCTTCGGTGGAGCTTCCTATGGGGCCACGGATCGCTGTATTGGGTGGTGGTGGCGCATGCGGGCGGTGCCACTGGGGCCTTCGGCGGAGCTCCCAATGTGGCCACGAAGCGCTATACTGGGCGGGGGTGACGCATGCGGCCGGTGCCACTGGGGCCTTCGGTGGAGCTCCCAATGTGGCCACGAAGCGCTGTTCTGTGCGGGGGTGACGCATGCGGGCGGTGCGACTGGGGCCTTCGGTGGAGCTCCACACGAAGCGCCGTACTGGGTGGGATGACGCATGCGGGCGGTGCCGATGGGGTCTTCGGTGGAGTTCCCTATGGGCGTCATGCAGGCGGTGAAAGTGGGGCCTTCGGTGGAGCTCCCTGCGGGCCCACGGATCGCTGTTCTGTGCGGGGTGACGCATGCGGGCGGTGCCACTGGAGCCTTCGGTGGAGCTCCATGTGGCTACGAAGCGCTGTACTGGGTGGGGGTGACGCATGCGGGCGGTGCCACTGGGGCCTTCGGTGGAGCTCCCTATGGGGCCACGAAGCGCTGTACTGTGTGGGGTGGCGCATGCGGGCGGTGCCACTGGGGCCTTCGGCGGAGCTCCCCATGGAGCCACGAAGCGATGTACTGGGTGGTGGGGACGCACGCGGGCGGTGCCACTGAGGCCTTCGGTGGAGCTCCACACGAAGCGATGTACTGGGTGGGGGTGACGCATGCGGGCGGTTCCACTGGCACCTTCGGTGGAGCTCCGTGGGGCCACGGAATGCTGTGCTGGATGGGGGTGGGTGGTGATGCTGATGCTGGTGATGGTGGAGGAGGACGGGGAGGAGGAGGAAGGAAGGAACGCGGGCGCTGTCTCTTCAAAGCGAGGGCCCAACACCACAGGATGGTTGGGAATGCTGCGAGATCTTTCCGGATTGAGGGCGGGTCGTTTTGAAACTGTGGCTCTCGCATTGGGGCCGCGCACATCCGTTTTAAACGTTTGCAAGAGCTTCAAGGATCGAGAGCGGCTCGCTTTCGAAATGTGGCTCTCGCCTTAGCGCCGCGCGCACTCTTTTTTAAGAAAGTGCTAGACTTTCGCGGGTTGAGGGCGGGTCCTTTTCAAAGTGTGGCTCTTGCCTTAGCGCAGCGCACATTCTTTTGAACAAATGGCAAGGACTTCGCGGATTGAGGGCGGGTCGTTTTCAAACTGTGGTTTTCGTTTTAGCGCCGCGTGCAGTCTTTCTTAACAAATGCTAGAACTTCACGGATTGAGGGCGGCTCCTTCTCAAAAGGTGGCTCTCGCCTTCGCGCCCCGCACACTCGTTTTAAACATTTGCAAGAGTTGGATTGGTTCTCATGGTTAGTGTACCAAAACTATTATTTTGGAGCGATTCAGGATTGTCCGGGCAGAACCGTAACGTTGATTCGCGGTGTTGAAATCTCAGGAACGGTGTCCTGGCACGATTCAGGATCGCCAAGACGTGACAGTCAGATTAACCCGTGGCATTGAAGTCCAGGGAATGTATTGGCGCGCTTCAAGATGTGCACACGGTTGCCTCCCAACGGGGCAACACCCTCAGCGGAAATGGCCCCCTATAGGGGCCCATGAAGAAGGATCTTGAAGGGAGGGTGTATTTCAACATCGTTGATGCCTCTTGGATTCACAGTGGTCCTCCAACTCCTCCTCCACATCATCATCATCACCACCATCATCATCCTTCTCCTCTTCCTCCTCCTCCATCTCCTTCTCCTCCTCCTCGGCCTCGGTCTCCCCTTCATATTCCTCAGCATCTTCATTGTTATCGTCCTTGCTGTCCTCCTAATCATCGTCAGCATTGCTATCAGCGTCATCACCACCATAGTTCTACGCCTCCAATTCACAATCACACCATCATCACCCACATCGTTCGTCATCGCCATCACCATCGCCATCAGCATCTTCATCTTCATCATCATGATCATCACCACCACCAGCGAAAGCATCACCATCGCGATCACGAGCATGATCATGATCGTTACCACCCTTAACATCAACAACATCAACACCAGCACCAGGACCACCATCCTCATCATCACCGTCAGCGTCATCTTCATCGTCATCACCATCATCAACACTATCTCCATCCGAATCACCATCACCGTCAGCATCATCATCTGCATCATCACCAGCAACATAGTAATCCTCATCGTCACCACCATCATCAGCGGCAGCATCACCATCACCATCACCACTACCACCACCACAAGCACCAACACCATCATCACCAAAATCATCATGCTTCCCCCCCTTCCTCCTCTTTGACTGCCGCCTGTCCGAACCATCCTCGTGGCCAGAGGTGGGCGGTCCTCAAAAGTGCCAGCGCAGCATCCGGTGCCGCATCTCCTCCTCCTCCTCCCCCTCCTCCTCCTCCTCCTCCTCCTCCTCCTCCTCCTCCTCCTCCCTCCTCCTCCTCCTCCTCCTCCTCCTCCTCCTCCTCCTCCTCCTCCTCCTCCTCCATCTCCTCCTCCTCCTCCTCCTCCTCCTCCACCTCCTCCTCCTCCTCCCTCCTCCTCCTCCCTCCTCTCCTCCTCTCTCCTCCTCCTCCTCCTCCTCCTCCTCCTCCTCCTCCTCCCCTCCAGTTCCTCCTCCTCCTCCTCCTCCCTCCTCCTCCTCCTCCTCCTCCTCCCCTCCTCCTCCTCCTCCTCCTCCTCCTCCCCCTCCTCCTCCTCCTCCTCCTCCTCCTCCTCCCTCCTCCTCCCCCTCCTCCTCCTTCCTCTTCCCCCTGCCCCCTCCCCCTTTCCCCTGCCTCTCCTCCTGCTCCTCCGCAGGCGCGCCCCGCTGGCCCGGCGTCGACGCGCGGGTCCAATTCACGCCCGCGGGCCGTGCGGCGCGTCCGGGTCGCTCGGGGGCTTGTTGCGGACGCGGGGCGCGTGCGTGGCCTCGGAGGGAGGCGCGGGGAGAAGAGAGGAGGATCGAGGAGGGAGGAGAGGGGAGGGGAGGGCGGAGCGAGGAGAATAGAGGAGAAATGATGATGATGACAAGGGCCAGACGAGGAGAAATGGAGGAGTGGGTGTATAATCGAGGGCTTCACACTCAGGGCAGGGCCCGATGAGCAAGAGCGAAATGACAGCTAGGAGGGAGGACGGAGGATGGAGGTGTTGTTCCGACGGTGCGTGCACAAAGCATGCCCCGTCTAGCAGCAAGCTCTTATGGCTACGGGGGATAAGGGAGGAGGGGGAGTGAGGGGGAAGGATGGAGGGGAGAAAGAAGGAAAGAGGAGGGGGAAGGATGGAGGGGGAAGCGAGGTGCGAATGACTTCGCGCGCTCTCGCGCCGCCTCCCAGGGGAGAAGAGGAGGAAGAGGAGGAATCGGAGCCAAACCGCGAAGCGCGAATAGCTTCGCGCCCTCGAAGACGCCCTCGGAAATCCCACCAGCCCTTTAGGGCGTAGGTGGTCTAGAGCGTTTCCTCTGCCACCCCCCCTTCTTTCCCTTCGGGGAGGGGTTTACCCCTCCCCTTCCCCCTCCCCACTGACCTGGACGAGGCGTCTCGCGAGGTGTCAGGGCGCCCAAGATGGCTCAAGACGGCTCCAAGAGCGAAAAAGCGAGAAAGCACAAAACATTGATTCTACCTAGGTTTTGGAAGGATTTTGGCCTCTTGGGGGGGCCCAAGAGGCGCTTCGAGGCACTCTAGAGGGGCAACCCTAATTGGAGCTCCCCCCTTCTTTGATAGATCTCCTCCAAGATGGCCCCAAGAGCGCCCCGAAGGCTCCCAAGAGCGCCCCAAGAGCGCCCCAAGAGGGCCCCGAGAGACCCCAAGAGGCCCCCAAGAAGCCTCTAAGAGGCTGCCAAGAGACCCCCAAGAGGCCCCAAGAGAGTTCAAGATGGCCCAAGACGGCTCCAAGAGCGAAAAGGCGAGAAAGCAACAAACAATGATTTTACCTAGGTTTTGGAAGGATTTTGGCCTCTTGGGGGGCCCAAGAGGCGACTCGAGGCACTCTAGAGGGGCAACGCTAATTGGGGACCCCCTCTTCTTTGATCGATCTCCTCCAAGATGGCCCCAAGAGCGCCCCGAAGGCTCCCAAGAGCGCCCCAAGAGCGCCCCAAGAGCGCCCCAAGAGGCCCCAAGAGGCGCCCAAGAGGCCTCCAAAAGGCTCCCAAGAGACCTCCAAGAGGCCCAAGAGGCTCCCAAGACGGCCCAAGACGGCTCCAAGAGCGAAAAGGCGAGAAAACACAAAACATTGATTTTACCTAGGTTTTGGAAAGATTTTGGCCTCAAGAAGGGCCCAAGAAGCGATTCGAGGCACTCTAGAGGGGCAGCGCTAATTGAGGACCCCCCCTTCTTTGATAGATCTCCTCCAAGATGGCCCCAAGAGCGCCTCGAAAGCTCCCAAGAGCGCCCCAAGAGCGCCCCAAGAGAGCCCCAAGAGGCCCCAAGAGGCCCCCAAGAGGCCTCCAAGAGGCCTCCAAGAGACTCCCAAAAGGCCACAAGAAGCTCCCCGAGATACGCAAGAGGCCTCCGGGACCGCCAAGAGGCCCCAAAGACGGCCCAAGAGGCCCCCAAGCTCGCCATTGTCCTCCTCCTCCTCCTCTTTTTCTCCCTCCTCCCTCCTCCCCCTCCCCCTCCTCCGCCTCCTCCTTCTCCTCCTCCTCCTCCTCCTTCTCGTCCTCCTCGTCCTCGCCCTCCTCCATCTCCTCCTCCTCATCTTCCTCCTCCTCCTCCTCCTCCTCCTCCTCCCCCTCCTCCTCCTGCTCCTCCTCCTGCTCCTCGTCTTCCTCCTCCTACTCCGACGACGACGACTCCTCCTACATCCTCCCCCTCTTGGGGCGTATGGCGGCTCAACCCGCTCTTTGTTCTTCTGCATGCTCCCCCGCTTCCCTCATCACCTCCACTCCCCTGGGGCTCATTTCTGGACGGGCTGGTGGGGATACGCGAAGCGTCTAGAATTGAATAGGGCTTCCGTTGAGTGGCCACATGCTCGGAATCGTGCTGGCTCGTCGCAAGAATCGAAACGGCGATCGGCTCGAACTGCTGTCGGAGTTAGAACCGTTTTCCCGAATGTGGCGAGCTCTAGCGTAATCGGCATCATCGTCAGCATAACAAACAGAGCATCAAAAGGCAAGCTTGCAAGGCTTGCGGAAACTGCCAACAACAGACTCCCGTGCTCGATCGAGAGTCGTCTTCACCCTTCCATCTGCGATCATGCAAGGGATAGTTCGCGGCACATGTTCTCAAGCACTTCCAAAAAAATGTTCGCGTCAGCGCGCACCGACCACTTCACCGCAAGCCGATTATCAGTGTCCTACACGTCAGTTTTGATGGCTGGGGCGCGCGGAAACCTTACCCACTACGTGGATGAGGCCTGTGGGGCCACTGGTCCCGACGTCATTTTTTTTGACCTCCACGGGCCCACCGCATAGTGCAAGCAACTGGCAGTGCGGGACCTGCCAGCTCTGAGAAATACCTCGCCTCGGCGAGAGCCGCTAGGGGAGGGGGCTTCGCGAGTTCCTTTCGGAGCGCCCACTATGGCCCCCTCCCCGCACGGATCGACCCTCGGCTCGGACTCTCACTGTCTGGCAGACCCGCCAGAGACAGTGCACAAGAAAAATACGGCTTTGGCCTCACGGCTCACCACACAAGTAACCACACCTGCCATTAGTGGCGAATGACAGGAGAAGAACAAGCACCAGCTGGACCATCAGCTGGTAAAAAGATCGGCAACGCGGAGAGCATCCTGAGCGGACAGGCGGTCGCCGCTTAGATCGCGGAGCCGCGACCTATGCCACAACAGCCTGAGGGCCGAGGAGGCAAAGCACGGCCGAGGATAAGATTGAGAACAGAAAACTGAATTAGAATGGGTGGCTGCGCAGGAACGGCAACCACACAAGAAGACGGGCGCACGCCTGCCAAAAGAAAAGGGCACCGTCGGGGTCATTTGGAGGTGTCGTCCTCGTCTTTGCTAGACACAACAATCGTACACAAACGACGACCGCCTGAAAGCCTTTCAGAGAAAGGTGACCCGCAATAACCAATGCTCGAACGGCCAACTTTCTTGTCGTAAATGGCCTCCCTTCCTAAGAACGCGCTGACTACGCCCCCCAGCAGTATTCAAACCTACTCTGGAAACAATCGAACAGCATGCTGGCTATTCGCTGGGGATGCCTGTCACCCGTTCGACCTGGGAATCGACAACAGTATGGTATACTGGCTTCTGCTTGGCCACTATTGTCCTCGGCGGAAAATGCGCTGCAAAGTAAAACAATTGAAACCACCCGGATCGAAACACAACCACAGCGCCTCGGCCCTGCAAACACTCGGGCGGGGAAGAAACGGTCGAGGTGTGGAAACTGCGGGATACTTCTCGGCGGAAGCGGATTGTGCACGCCAGTGTGACAGTTAGTGAAGGCCGAACGTCCATGGCCCCTTAAAATGTGGAGATTCTGGACAGCGAGACTACAGCAGGTATTCGCAGTATCCTTGCGACGATCACGAATGCCAATCAAGAGCTGCACACATGTGTAGCGCATGCAAGCGCACTGTGAAAAAACGGCCTAGTTGTACAACCAGACAAGCGCTGTGCACAACAAAATAAAAGTGATGCGTGATGCTGCTCCATTACAACCCTGCATGCGGGTCGGGGGGTACCAGGGCGGGTGCGCAATGGCGCAGGCAGGCAATACAGAAAAAATGTGATCAGACATGCGCATAAGGTCCCCCAAAAAGCTATGCTTGTTAGCGTGGACCCCAAACAGTTACTTTTTGAATCCTGGATGTTTAAGCTATGTGGTGTAAGCTAGGCGGAATTTATGTGTCGCACGCTGTGGGACGTAGGCTAAGCGGTGCAAGGTATATTGCGCAAGGTACTCGGTATGAGGCATGTGGTGCAGGCAAAGTGGTGCAAGCTATGTGGTGGAAGCTACATGGTGCAATCCATGCGGTATAAGACGTTCTGGTGCGAGCACGATGGTGCAAGCTAAGGGGTGTGCTGTATGATGCGTGGTGTAAGCTATGTGATGTCAGACATGATGTGCAAGCTATGTGGTGCATGCTATGTGGTGCAAGCCGTGTGGGGCCAGCCAAGAATGCAAGCTTTATAGTCCCAACTGTGGTGCAAACGAGGTGGGCCAACGAGGCATCCACGGCCAGGCACCAGCCGAAACCTCAGAGAAAAAAAAACCCAACCGGCGTAGGAGGGCGCCCCCGAGGCGACCGCGGCCAGGCACCGGCCGAAGACCTGGAACACCAAGCCCTGCGACGAAGCCAGGACGAGGACAACATCTGGTGCGGACAAATCGATGAGATCCAGGGCGAAGCTAGGACGAGGAGCTACAAGCTGGTGGGACACCAAGCCCTACGACGAAGCTAAGACGATGACGAGAACAACATCTGGTGAAAATCTTTGAGATCCGCGGGATCTCCAGAATGTCTCGGGCGCAGCGGCCTTCTCACAGCGTTCCGGAAAGCTCCGAGAGCGCTCTGGAACGAAGGAGGAGGAGGAGGAGGAGGAGGAGGAGGGGCAAATAATGAAGGGGGGGAGGAAAGAGGATGAGGGGTAGCAAGGGGATGACAAAGGAGGAGGAGGATGAGGAGGGAGGAAGAGGGAGGAGGAGGAAGGAGCAGGACGCCCAGCTGACGTGGCGCACCTTGCCGCACGGCAGGATAAGGAAGGGTGAGGCGACGGATGGGAGTGAGCAGGAGTAGGAGGAGGGAGTGGGCGTAGGCGCAGAGAGGGGCAGAGTAAGAGGAGGAGGTTCCTTGGTGGACTCCGGGAAAGGCACTATCTTCCCGCCCTTGAAAACCGCGGGCTTGTACGCGTCTGGCACCTGATGGTCCAACGTCGACCATACACACTGGCTCCTCTTCCTCCCTCGTCTATCCCTCCCTCATGCTCCTCCTCCTCCTCCTCCTGCCCTCCTCCATCCTTCCTCTTTCTTCCTCCCTCTTTTCCTCCCTCCTATCTCTCCTCCCTCTCTCGGCCTCCCCACTCGTCACGCCTCCCTCCAACCACATCCCTCCACATCACCTCTGCCTCCCTCCCACACTCCCTCTTTTCCTCCTCCCTCCCTCCCTCCCTCTCCATCTTATGTCTATATATATATATATATGCGTAGGAACATGTGCATGTAGGTGTATATGTATATATATGAGTATGTGTGTGTATCTGGATGTGCATATATCTAGATAGATCCCTCTAGGGCCATACGTCCCTCTTTGTCTCCTCTCTCGATATGGATGCGCAAATGTGCATCTAGAATTTCTCCCCCGTTCCTCATGTCTCATGATCCTCCTCCTGGCCCTCTCCGCACTCCCTTCAATTTCTCACATTCCTCCTCCTCCTCCTTCTCATCCCCCTTCCCCCTCATCACCCTCAGGACGCTCATCATCACCGCCATCAACATCATCGTCACCATCGTCATCATCTACAACAACATCACCCTCACGATCAACATCACCATCGTTGTCGTCACCATCACCATCATAACCCCCCACCACCATAATAATCCCTTTTCTCCTCCGACTCCTGGGAAGACGAAAAACGATGGGTGGTGGTCGAATCCTGGGGACTACGGAAGGGCGCGTGATGGGACAGGTGTGGTGCCTCTCCGCCTCTTCCCCCGTCATCCTCGCCGCATCACCAGAATTGTGAACGGGGCGGGTCACGCCCCAATCGCTACACGGAGCGATGGCGAATTGCTTCAAAGGTTCAAACATGCGGCTTCTGCCTCAGCCCCGCCTCAGCCCCGCCACAGCAACATGTGACAGCTACGACAACTGAAGGCGGGTGATTGTTTGACTGTGGTCCTCGCGGTAGCTCCGCGAACGATCGTCTCAAACTCCTACAGAATCTACACGGGTGGATGGCGGAACGTTCTCAAAATGCGACTCTCGCCAAAGCGCTGCGCGCATTCACTTCGACAGCGCCCACCACTTACGCTGTTGGATTGCGGGCTATTTTCAACATGGTGGTATCGCCTTAGCGCCGCGAGCAGCCACATTGGAAGCCGCCGGCATGTACAAGAATGGAAGGCGACTCGTCGTCAAATGGGGCACTCGCTTGCGCGCCCCTCAAATTGCACCATCAACAGCCGAATCATCTGTTTGCGAAAGGTGCACGGTTATATGGCGGATACTTGCCAGAAGTACGGATCTCGTGAGGGTCGTCCTCGCCCTCTGGGACAAACTCGTCAAAGTGTGCTGCCTCCACACTGCTGGATGGCGGTGGCGTTTGTCGAGATGGGGCGTTCGCTCGACCCGTCCCTGGCTTGTACGGTCGCGCCCCGTGGCACTCCCAGCCAGAAAGACTGCGGGCGGCCCTTTCTCAACACGGGGCCACACGGAATGGAAGGCGAGGCTGCCTTCTTCCCGTGGTGACGCGGACTGCCAGCAGGGACTTGTGGCACGAAGACTATGGGCGGAAGGGTATACTGCATCGTCGTTGATGCATCCTGGTGTTACTGCGGTCTCATCCTCCGCCTCCTCCTGATCCTCCCCCGTCTCCTCTTCAACACTGGCATGATATGTATCACCGTCATCCCCGTAATAGCCATCCCTCCTCCTTCGCATACTCGTCCTCGTCTACCCTCAATTTCCCCCTCATCAACCCCCTTCTCATCATCCGCGCCTCCGTATCATCACCCGCCCCGTCCTCGTCGTCTTTGGTATGCCACCCTCCCATTACCCTCATCGACATCATCACCACCCTTACCGATAACGCAAGCATCGTCATAATCATCCCTGTCGTTGTTGTCGGCGTTGCGTCCATCATCAGCATCCTAATCATCACGCGCATGCCTCCCTCATTTGTCATTCATTTGCCCCTCACCACCATACATCCCTCCTCACTCCCTCGCCCGTCCATGTGATGGTCCTTCATATTCCCCATAGTCACCCCGTCCCCACATCATCACCACAGCCAACAACTTCGCTATGATCATTGAAGTGGCTACCGTCATCGTCGCCCCCTCATGAACATGACCCTCTTCACCACAAGTTGCACCCAGTCCTCGTCAACATCACCATCATCGCCGACGTCGTTGTCGTCGTCGCCATCGTCAACGTCATCGAGATCGCCACCGTCAACGTCATTGTCGCCGTCGTGATTATCATCCGTACCATCCCCCTAATCACTATCCCCGGTCACCATCACCTGATCCTACGCAGAATCATCAACATCTTTCATGCGTTCTTTCTACGGACCCCCATGTCTCTTCTCGTTTGCCTGGATTCGTCATTCCTCCCTCTTCCACCCCACTCCTCATCGTATCTCCCTCTTCACGTCATGTCCTCTCCCCCCCATGCCACACCACACCACACCACCCCCCTCTCATCCACTTACAGCCCCTCGTACTCCTCGAACACCCCTTCCCCCTTCTCCTCCTCCTCCTCCTCCTCATCATCATCCTAATCCTCCTCCTTCTTTCCCTCCTCGTCTTCCTTCTCCCCCTCATCTTTGTCATCCCCCTCCACACCCTGATCAGCATCACGCCCCAACTCCTCATCCTCACCCTCCTTACCCTCTTCCTCCGCATCATCACCACCATTACCCTTCGCAGCGGCATCATCATGGTGAAATTTATCCTGCATGTTCCTCATTCGTGCTCTTCCTCGTTCCACACATCGCCCTCCTCACCGTTCCTCCCTCCTCCTCCCATCCGTGTTACTCAGAAGTGCCCGTAGGGCGGGCCAAACGTTTCGCCTGACCCCCCCACACCACCACCGTTCATGATCATGCAGCTTAGGGCGCGCAGCATGTTCAAGGATGGACGGCAGGCCATTTTCAAAATGTGGTTCTCGCCTCTGCGCCGCGCACATGCACCGCAAACACTGGAACAGGGCTGCGGGATCAGATCTGCAGAACACTCCAAACGGACGTCGAGGGGCGCAACCACAAGCTGCAACTGATGCACCACATCGGGCGTCAAACCAAAGCGTTGGACAGATTGCGAGGCGCATGGTTAAAGGGGCCCTGGGACACACAAATAAATACACACAAATAACAGGAGTCCCCATATCTTCCTATATCGTCTGGGTTCTTGTCTTCCCCCCACTTCCCATAGTTTCCCATATTTTCGGGGGGACCGATGATTCATTGTGTCTCTATGTTTTCCCCTCCTGAATGGTTGGAGTCTGCTGAAGGTCGCTGGGGGGGCAGCGTTGTTTCCAGGGCCAGATCACAGTGCGCTCGGCGGGCGCGCTTGATCGGTCCACAGCAATCCTTCCAGCCGCCCTCCGCGAGAAGCTCTGATTTCTGGTCTGATCTTGCCGACGACTGGGCTGCTCCTGCGTGCTATTGCCCTACAAGAGCATTGCCCTCTCCCCCCCGTCGCCCCCAGAAACACAGATCGCGTTCGCTGCCCCTCAGCGAACTTCAAGAGTTCTGTCCTTTCCCCCCACTTCCCATATCTTCCCCCCCACTTCCCCCCACTTCCCATATCTTCCCCCCACCTCCCATATCTTCCCATATGTTCTGAGGAATCGATGATGCATCGTGCCTCTGTGTCTTTTTCCCCTCCTGGATGGTTGGGGTCTGCCCCCACTTTCGCCCACCACGCCGCTGCGCGCGCGCTGGCCACGCGCAGGGCCAACCTGCGGCGGGGGGGGGAGGCGGCGCCCGCCGCGGGAGCGCCCGGCGAAGGCAGCCCCCCTTTCCCCACGAGGCTGGAGCTAAGTCGGGCCTGTCCCCCTACAGGCGGGATTTTCGACGAAAAATAAAACATACCCCAAACCAAAATCAAAACATACCCAACAAAATACCCACAAATAGTAAAAAAATGCCCAAACAATTCGCCGGCCCAACGGGCCAAAGGCGTGCTAAGATCTCCGGTAACTGCTAAACAATACTTCTAGTTCGCGCGCGCGGGGCGGCCCCTGGGGGTCCCCCGGCGAAAAGTACCCCGACCGCCGCCCGACCACTGCTACTCAGAGATGGTTTTCCTCCTGGGTGTGGCTTCTCAGGCCCCCCAGAGCGCGCCAAGAGTGCCCCAAGAGGCCCCCAAGACTGCCCAAAGGGCCCCCGAGACGCCTAAAGAGCGCTCCAAGACGCCGATGATGACCTCAAGACGGCCCAAGAGGCCTCCAAGTGGCCTCCAAGAGGCCTCACAAGAGGGCCCTGAGAGGCCCAAATCAGACATTTTACGATGGTTTTGAAAGAATTTGGGCCTTGTCCCCTTTTCGGCCATCCGATGCTCCAAGACGGCCCAGGAGGCCCCCAAGAGCACCCCAAGACGGGCCAAGAGGCTTCCACGAGGGCCCCAAGAGGGCCCAAGAGGGCCCCGAGACGACCCAAGAGGCGCCCAAGACGGCCCAAGACGGCCCCAAGACGGCCCCAAGAGGGGCCCAAGAGGGGGACCACGAACCAAAACCTCGAGCCTTCCGCCCCAAGAGGGCCCCAGGAGGCCCCGAGAGGCCCAAAGAGGCCCCAAGATGCCGCCAAGAGGCCCCCAAGAGGTCCCAGGAGGCCCCCAGGAGGCCCCCCAGAAGACTTCAAAAATGCCTCCCAGGCGCCCTCGAACGGCTTCTGAAAAGACCCCAAGAGGCCTCCCAGAGAAGCATCTTGACGACGACCCTGTTTGGCCCCAAGAGCAACACAAGATGCCAACGAGAGGCTTCCTCCTCCGCCCCTTCCTCTTCCTCCTCCTCCTCCTACTTATCTTCATCCTCCTCATCTCCTTCTCATCCTCTCCTCCTCCTCCCCTCCCCTTCCCCATCCTCATCTTCTTCCTCCTCGGCGGCGCCACAATGGCCCCGGGCCCACGGCGAAGCAGTAGCGATCATGCAACATGGGCCGGCGGAATGAGCGAAGCGATTGAATAAAAAATGCCCCCACAAATCCCCACGAGGCGGGAGCGGGTCGGGCGCGCGGAGGTCGTGCAGCCAGTCGGCAGAAGCGGGCAACATCTAGGGGGCCTCGTGCGAACCCGACCCCTACAGAAGGGGCCTTGACCTAAGGAACCCTAAATAAGGAACGAGGCCCCTTTTTTCCATAAGGAACTGTACCCCCCACGATTTCTGGAGGGGGCGGGTGGGGCTCCCTTCGCTCGGGAGCCCCCGAGCGCCCCGGGCGAAGCGGACCCCCGCCGCGGGAGCGCCCGGCGAACGCAGCCCCCCGTCCCCACGAGCGGGAGTCAAGTCGGGATTGTCCCCCTACAGGGGGGATTGTCGACGAAAAAATTTAAAAAAGTACCCCAAGAAATAATCAACACATAATCCCAAAATAGTCTGGGGACTATTGTTGTTGATTATTTGTTGACCTTTTTGGGGGTAGTTTGGGGGTCTTTTTGATTTTTCGTCGAAGATCCCCCTGTAGGGGGACACGCCCGATATGAGACTGGAGCGGGTCGGGCGCGCGGAGTCGTGCAGCCAGTCGGCAGAAGCGGGCAGCATCCAAACTGGAGGGGCCCCAGGACACACAAACAAACACACACACACAAATAAAACATGATTCCGCATATGTTCCCACACTTCCTTGGTTTCTGTCTTCCCCCCCACTTCCCATATTTTCCGATATTTTCCTCTGGATGCCTGAGGAGCTCAAAACGCCAAAAGACCCAGAAGGATGTGGCATTTATGGACAACGGCTTGGGGGTCCTAACGTCCTGAACACTGCGGGGGGGATCCACCCGTGGCGACAAGGGCCGCCCAGGAGGCCCGACAAGAAGAAAGGGGCGTAAAAAGCCTGCTTCACCTTCGCCTCTTCTTCTCTTCCCCTCCTCATCCCCCTCCTCCTTTCTCGTCTTCGTCCTGCTCCAGCTCCTGCTCCTGCTCCTGCTTCTTCCTCCTCCTCCTCCTCCTCCTCCTCCTCCTCTTCCTCCTCCGCGCTTCTCCTCCCTCCATCCCTCCCTCCCACCATCCCCTCTCTCCCTCCTACCATCCCTTCCCCCCCACCCTCCTCCTCCTTTTCCTCGTCGTCGTCGCCGTCGTCGTTGTTACCGCCACCACCGTCGTCGTCGTCGTCGAAGTCGTCGTCACCGCCACCACCGTCGTCGTCGTCGTCGTCGTCGTCGTCGCCATCATCATCATCATCATCATCATCATCATCATCATCATCATCATCATCATCATCATCATCATCATCAGCATCATCATCATCAGCAGCAGCATCATCACCATCGACAACATCATCACCATCACCATCACCACCACCATCATCATCATGATCATCATCCTCGTCGCCATCATCATGATCATCACCACCACCACCACCATCATCATCATCATCATCACCAGCATCATCATCACCATCACCATCAACATCATCACACCACCATCAGCAGCAGCATCATCATCATGGTCATCACCATCATCATCAACATCATCATCGCCACCACCATCACCACCACCACCACCACCACCATCATCATCATCATCATAATCATCATTAGCTTCATCATCGTCATCATCACCATCATCACCATCATCATCATCAGCATCATCATCATCTTCGTCATCATCATGACCACTCCTTAATATCCTTTCTTGAAATGACGTCCTAGTTGCGGTCGGTTTGAGGGGTCCTGGAGCACCGAGGGGTGCATCACGGGGCTGTTGCGGTACCGATCGATATGGGCGTCCAGCCCCTGGTGCGGTCCGGTCCAGCTCACCTGGCACACCTTGCGCGGCCAGGAGGATAAGGACGGCAAGGCCGACGACATATCTGAAAGATGAGGGGCTCTCAGTGAGGAGAAGGAAAAAGGGGAAAGGAGGGAAACAGGACAATACTAAAGCAAAATACTGAAGGAAGAGATGAGGGAGGAAAGGAGAGAGCAGGAGAGAGGAGGAAGAGGAGAAGGTTCGTAAACAACAAACAAATGAACGAAGGTATATAAACGAAAACAGAAAGGTCCAAACAACAATATAGAAGAGGGGGAGACAAAGCGGACAACCACGAGCACACACTTTTTAACAAGCGCAAGCGAGCCCCTTGGCGAGAAGGCGTGGAAGGAGGAGAGGGGAGGAGTTGAAACAGGCAGCCCCAACCCTAGGCTGCGCTACGTTAGCCTAATTTGGCGGCCTGGGCCGCGCCGCGAGCCGCCTGCGCAGCGCCGCGCGCCAGCCCGCCTCGCTGCCCCCCGCCCGCGCCGCGGGCACCAGCAGGAGCGCCGCTGCGCGAGGAGGCAGCACGCTGGCCCATCCTGGGCAGGGCCGAGCCGCCAGCGCCCGCCAGCGCGGGGCGGCGCTGCCGCAGCAGAGGCATGCGACCCACCCGGGCCCCTGCGACGCCGCGCGCGGCGCCCGCGCGCCGCCCCCGAAGAGGGCGCGGGCGGCGTGGGCAGCGCCGCGCTGAGGCAAACCCTGGCCGACCGCCCACGGTCGCCGAGCGCGCTGCGGCTGTGGCTGGCCAGCCGCCGGCGCCTGCTGCTGCCGCTGCTGCTGCTGTTGCTGCGCCCGTTGCCTGTTGGGCTGCGCAGCCCGCGCCAAAGATGGGCCGCGCGTCCAGCGACTGCGCGCCCTGGGCCCAGCCAGCCCGGAGCCCTCGTGGTTGGCACGCAACGCGGCCAACTCCACGGTGGCCAACAGCCGCTGGAAGGAGCGCAGCGCGCGCAGCTGCACCTGCCGCCCGACGCAGAGCGCTCGCTCGGGCAAACAGGCGCGCGCGCGCGGCGGCGCCCGCCAGCAAATCGGCGGTCTAATTGCCAGCGTGGCCCTCCGGAGAGATCCCGCGCCCCGCCGCCGCGGCAGCGTCGAGGTGCCCCTTGACCCAACGCGCCTCGCCGATGAATCCGCTCTCGCAGCGCGGCCGCATCTGTTACCACAAGACCGCGTGCGTCCATTCGGTGGGAGAAGCGCCGGCGCGCAAGGCCACAACCCCGTGGACTACGTAGCGAGAATCAGATACCAACTCGAAGGGTGCCCCGACCGCGCTGACAGCATGCACCGCCGCAGTGAGCCCGGCCCGTTGCGCATTCTGGGGCCCGCCCACGGGCCCGCTACGGTGCCGCAGCACGCCGTCTGGCCCCCTCCAGCAGAGACCCCACCCCGCCCGGGTAAGGAGAGGGTCGGCGGGGTGCTCGCAGGCTCCGTCGCTGCAGGCCCGCAACCGAGTTTGCCCAGGGCCAGCCGCGGGAGGCGGCAGCGGGGGCGGCGGCAGCCCCTGCTTGGCCTGCGCTGCCAGCGCGGCCATGCGCGGGTCCAGCGGCAGTACCCCAGTCAGCGGAACGTCAGCGGGGAGGCGCGCAAACAGGGCTGCTTGACTCAGACCTGCGCTCTGCAGCTCGGCGCGGCGAGCCGATGCCCACTGGGGGCGCTCCCAGAAGCGGCGCTCCTTGGTTTCCGCCGCGGCGCCGCAGTGCGGGCATCCAGCGGGCCGGCCCCACTTCGCGGCCACCGACTCCGTGACGACGTTTCCTGTGAAGAGGAGGAGGAGAAGGCAGCGGCGGGCTCATCAGGGGCACGGGTCGGTTCAACTCTGGCATGCGGATGGAAGACAGCAAGCCACAAAAAAATCACCAAAGTCCCTAGAGTGCGCTGAGAAGCGGGCTTATGCCATGGGGGAGGGGGCTTATTTGAGAGGAGGAGGAGGAGGAGGAGGAGGAGGAGGAGGAGGAGGAGAGTGAGTGAGTGGAGGTCTAGGAGGAGCAGCAGAAGAACGAAAACGACGCAGGGGTGAACGAGAGGGTAGGTAGAAGGAGGTGGAAGAGCAGGCGAGTCTGGATGACGTGGCACGCCTTCTTAGATGGCAGGACCCAGTCGGAGAAGCCGTCGAACTTGCTCCAGAAGGCGGGGACGACGCTCGGATCAACGAGGTTGACAAAAGCATAACCTCGGCGTACGACCGATCGCCTGCACGATCACGCGATCGGGTCGGACCTGTGATCACGCAACCGATCCCCGCGCTCACGACAACGCCTTGCTGCCGACGGCTGCGTTCCCGATAGCGCCTTCCGGCCGATCGCTGTGACCAGTGATCGGCGCTCCCGCGAAAGACGAGGCACCAAGGGCGCGGCCCAGGCATGCGCTCGACTTGAAGTCGATGGGGAGGTACAGGAAGTCGTACCTGCCAGCGAGATGTTTTTTTGTCCGAAGGAGAAGATGAGCGCGGACCACGGACCACAGAATTGAACCACCAACTCTCTCCGCCTGCCGCATTGTATAGTCGGAGCGTTGACCCAAGGAACCCTAAATAAGGAACGAGGCCCCTTAGATCCACAAGTTGGACTTCGATTTCCCATCGAAAACCAAAGCAAAACCAAAGGCAAACTTTGAAGCAATCAAGGAACACGGAGCCCCTCCCCAACGAAAAGGGTTCCTTCTTCAGGGCCCCGACTGTAGGAACATCCGCCACCGTGCGCTCGGGCACGGGAGAGGGCAGGTCCTCCGGTCCTGTGCCGAATCCTCTGCGCTTCACTCCTCAACCATGAGGATTATTTAAAGGGGCCTGGACCCCTCGCTCTAAAATCTCCCATGGCTTCTCGCATCCTGTCGCGACTTGTCACGTGACGTTTTCGGAGAGAGCCCCAGGAGGCCCCCAAACACGGTCCACGAGGGCCCCGAGTCGCCAAAAGATCGTTCCAAGACGCCCAAAGACGCCCAAGATGGCTTCAAGATGGCCCAAGAGGCCTTCAACACGCTCCAAGAGGCCTCCAAGAGGCCTCCCGGGAGGGCCCCAAGAGGCAAAATCACATATTGTCCTTAGGCGTTCGAACGATTGTGGCGGTCTCGCCTTTCTTTCCGACGCTCCAAGACGGCTCAAGTGGCCCCCAAGACCACCCCAAGATGGCCCACGAGGCCTCCAACAGGGCCCAAGACGATAAGAGCGCCCCAAGACGGCACAAGAGGCGGCCAAGACGGCCCAAGAGGGCCCGAGACGGCCCCAAAAGGGGCCCAAGAGAGGGGACACGAACCGAACATCCGAGCCTTCCGCCCCGAGAAGCCCACAGGAGGTCCCAAGAGGCGCCTCAGAGTCCCCCAAGAGGCCCCAAGAGGCCCCCAAGAAGCCCACAAGAGGCCTCACGAGGCCCCAAAACGGCCCCCAAGAGGCTTCAAAACCGCCTCCAAGAGGCCCCCGAGAGGCCTCCCACGAGATCCCAACGAACATCCACTAGGCTTCAAACACAACCCAGACACGGTGGCGTCATGAGCCGAAGGCCATTGAATCCGCCGCCTCCTGTTGCATCACAGGGTGCCTGGCGTGCTGGATGATTTCAGCTTTGGTTTTGATTCTTTTCTAAAAGAACCCCCCCTGGGGCCCTTACCCGTCGCACTTGAGGATCATCATTGGCACCAGGCAGGCTTCGCAGAAACACGACAAGCATGAGAAGGAGGAGGGGGACAAGGAGCATGGAGGAGCGGGCGACGATAGCAAGGATCTAGCTACATGCATTGGCAGCCCCTCCAGGTCAAAGATGACACGGCTGCCAGCCACCTATGCCACTAGAGGGTGTACCTCTGGTCAGATTTTTGGTTAGGCCATGCAACAAACCCCTACGCTGTGACTTGTTCAATGCTCTCTCGTCATTACGCCTCGGCTCGACACTGACTCAGGGCGCGCGCGAGAAGCTTAGTGTAGTCCTAGGCGATAAAAGGGTAAGTAATATGTAACGAGCTCCTGGCGCACAAGACTTAACAGACCTACTACAATGTTGCAAATTCCAGCGTGCCTCCGCAAGTTCTGGAAGGACTCAGCAGGACTGAATAACTTCGACATACCAGGACTCAGCAGGCCGTAGCATGACCAAGCGAGACTTAGGAAGTTCCAGCAGGACTTAGACGGACTCAGCAGGACCTGGCAGGTTCCAGCAGGACCTGGCAGGAATCCCGCTATCCAGCAGGACTGGGCAGCTTCCAGCAAGACTTAGCGGACTTAGCGGGAGCTGGTAGAACTCCGGAGAAGATTGGCGCGAGGATCGTTATTGCTGAAGGGAAACTGGGACACACACACACACACACACACACACATAAATAGACACACAAAAAAACATATTCCCCAATGTTTCCCATATTTCCTGGGTTTTTTTGTCTTCCCGCCCAATTCCTATATTTTCCCATATTTTCTGGGGGATCGACGACTCATTGTGTCTGTGTCTTTTTTCCCCTCCCGAATTGCGCCGCGCAGGATGCCTGGGGGTGTCTACTTCCTTACTGGGGTCAGGCTGCCCATCGACAGCGCAAGAACCCACTGCGTTGGGGCCCACGCTGGAAGACACGGAACAAAAAGGGGAGCTCTGCTCCGTCCTGCCGTCTCGAGGGACGCACAGGCGCTGCCTCGCTGGCTTGCGCTGTACCGTCGTGTAGCCATCGGTCGGAAGAAGCAGGCAGAGGCACGAGGTAGGCAGGCCTTGAAAACAGATTGGGTTCCGTCCGCCCCCGAAGGAGGACGGAAGAGGCGAAGCCACTCGATCATTGAAGTAGGAAGGCGCTTAAAGTAGATTGGAATCTGGGAATCCAAAAATACTTACTTTCAACGAACGATGGGTAGCCCTTGCCCCAGCTGGGGTCGGGGTAGAAGATTGCGCAAGCGCGCGTGGGCACCTGCCGCCGAAGCCCTCCTGGTCCAGCAACTCCAGCAGCATACTGCGCGAGTAGTTGTTGGGCAGGTTGCGCATCATGACCTCCGAATGAGAGGAAGCATCTGATCCCCCATACGCATAGAGCAGCCTGCTCCAATATACGGGTCTCGAACTCCTCCTCTCCCAGATTCCCCTCGCCTTCGTCCTTCAACCTCCTCCTCCTCCTCCTCCTCCTCCTTCTGGAAGAGGAAAGAAAAATGAACAGGGGCAGGGCCAAAACGAGGGCGGGACGACGACCGGCCACCACCACCACGACCACGAGATCAGGGGAGGGCGAAGGGGCGCAGCGGGACGACGACGACGACGACGACGACGACGACGACGACGACGACGACGACGACGACGGTCACCACCACGACCACCATCGCCACGACGACCCCGACGACCACGAAGACACCGACGAAGACACCGACGACAGCGACCACGACCACGACCACGACCACGACCACTGCAGCAACGACGATCACGGCCACAACCTCGACGACGCCGACGACGCCGACGACGACCACGACCACGGCCACCACGACGACGACGACGCCGACGACGCCGACGCCGACGGCGACGGCGACGACCGTGGTGCGCTCGGGCTCGGCCGTCGTGTGCAGCGCCGCCGGGGGCGCCGTGCGCTGCGCCGACGGCCGCGGGACGGCGCCGCGCCGCCTGCCCGGGGGGCGGGGGCGCGGGGAGAGCCCGGGGGCACGGCGCGGAGGCTGCGGAGCCCTGGACCCAGACCTCCTGGCGTCGTGAAAAAATCACGACGGGAGGTTTTTCGCTATTTTCGGCCTCCGGGGGCCCTCACCGGGCCGCGGGAGCGTCAAAAACGACTCAGGACGAAGAACCGGTCTCGGGGAAGGGGTCAAGACCTCTGGGGGTCGACGTTGTGAAAAAATCACGACGTCGGGGGTCTGGGGATGGGGCCGCGGGGTGGGAGCGAAGGGTTGTCTGAGCATCGTTCGACCACCCCTATCCCCTGTGGGCGTGGCCTGGGCCCCACTGGCCGATGTTACCCCCCTGGGTGGGGACGTGGGCCGTCGCCCCCGTGCTTCGAAGGGCATGCCCCCAACCGGGGTGCCGAGATGGTGAGGGTCTGGATCCAGGATGGGGATGGGGATAGGGGCCGGTTGAGCGGAACTGGTGGATGGGGCCGCGGGGGGAGGGCGAGGGGTTTTCATGGGAGCAGTTATGGCCATCGAGTAGCGACGAGAAGACTGTCCACCACTCCAGCCAGCGCGTGAGGCTCAGGCCAGCACGTTGGGGACACGGGTCACGAGCGGTGCAAGCGAAAGACTCGCGGCGCACCTTGAAAGCGGGCAAGTGGCACTGCGCACCGTGTATCCTGAGATGGGACTGACCGATGCAGCCGCACGTGTTGCAGAACCAAATGCCCGGACCATGATGAAATGAGGAAGCAGGGGGCACGGGAAGAGGCGAAGGAAGAGATGGGCGGCGGAGGGAGGAGAGAAGAGGGAGAATGAAGGGGAACAGAAGAGACGAGAAGATAAGAGAAAGAGGTGAATGGCTGAGGGGGGAGAGGGGACATGGTACGGCATGGTATGGGAGAGGAGGGAAGAGGAGAGGGGGAGGGAGGAGAAGAAGACAGATGAGGAGGAGGAGGAGGAGGAGGAGGAGGACGAGAGGGAATACTAAGAAAGAGGAAGGAGTAGGAGCGAGGAAGAGCACGTAGGACGTGGAGGAAAGAGAGGAGAAGCGTCAGGAAGAGAAAACGGAGTGGAGATGGAGAAAAGGGAGGAGCATGGGAAATTGAGAAAGCGTATGTTGGAAGAGGAGGAGGCAAGAGGGAGGAGGCAAGAGGGAAGAGGAAGAGGAGGAGGTAGACGAGGGGGGACGAGGACGAGCAGTAAAACAGGGGAGGGCGGGTATAGGAAGGAGGATGAGAAACAAGAGATGAAGAAAGACACGTTTCCAGAGGAGAAGAATAAGACGGAAAGGTTGACAGGGGATACCCGTCGGTCGGAAGAAGTGTGCATAAGCATGAAGTAGGAAGGCGGTACACGTAGATTGGGCTTCCGCCCGCTCGATGACGAGGAAGAAAACGGGGACACCGCTCGATTACTGAAGTGGGAAGGCGCCCAAAATTAGACCTGGGATCCCAAGATCCAAAGATACCTGCTTCAGCGACCGACGGGCACAGATAAGGAGGACGGAGAAAGAGAAGGAAGATGGGGAGGATGGACTCCTCCTCCTCCTCCTCCTTCCCCCTCCTCCTCCTCCTCCTCCTCTCTCCTCCTCCTCCCTTCCTCCTTCCTCCTTCCTCCTCCTCCTCCTCCTCCTCCTCCCCTCCTCCTCATCCTCCTCCTCCTCCTCCTCCTCTGCCTCCTCTGCCTCCTCTGCCTCCTCTCCTCCTCCTCCTCCTCCTCCTCCTCCTCCTCCTCCTCCTCCTCCTCCTCCTCCTCCTCCTCCTCCCCCTCTCCTCCTTTTCCTCCTCCTCCTCCTACTACTCCTCCGAGGGGGGAATGGGGCGATGGAGAAATGAGGAGGCATTCTCTCATTACTGTGATCCCTCTACGGATGCCGAACGCGCTTGGCGAGTGAGGGAGGGACGGAGGGAGAAGGAGGAAGAGGAGGAGGTGTGGGGGGGAGTGGACGGATGAGTAGGGAGGAGGCAAACAAGAAGGCGAGAAAGAAAGAGAAGAGAAGGAGTATTAAGGAAAAAAGAAGGCACAGCAGGGAGGTGGAACAGCAGTATGGAGAATGATAACGAAGAAAAAAGGATGCAGAGTTGAGGTGGACACCAGGAAAGGAGGGTTTTTGAGGAGAAGGAAGAAGAGAAGGAAGAACCATATCCATCAGGATCTACGACCTTCCTGGATCATTGGTTTTGCTGCGAACTCATGTCCAGAAGAGAAGTCAAAAGTGAGCCTGGAGGAGGGAGGAGGAGAAGGACGAGGCCAGAGGCAGCAGCCAGAGGAGGAGGAGGAGGAGGAGGAGGAGAAGGCAGAGGAGCGAATGAGGAGCAAGAGGGAGACGGGAGAGGATGATAGGGGAACAACAAATGACATAAACATAATGATACCGGAAACAAAACAAAATAATCAGGGCTATAGGGCTAGGGGGCTATAAGGCTATAGGGCTATTGAGCTATAGGGCTATAGAGCTATGGGGCTATAGAGTTGTAGGGCTATAGGGCTATTGGGCTATAGGGCTATAGGGCTATAGGGCTCAGTGCTATAGGGCTATAGGGCACCCCCGGGCACCCCCGGGCACCCCCGGGCACGCCCGGGCACGCCCGGGCACCCGGGCACCCGGGCAACCGGGCACCCCCGGGAATGCACCCCCTGGGCACCCCGGGTACCCCCGGGCACCCGGGCACCCGGGCGTGCAGCGAAAATCGGCGACAAACCTAACCTAACCATATGAATGCGCTAGGACCCCTACAGAGGCAAGCTCTGATTGGGGAGAGGTCCGCGCGGATTTCTCGGATCGGCGCTGGACCCCGAGAAGGAGGAGGAGGAGGAGGAGGAGGAGGAGGAGTAGGAGGAGGCAGATGAGGAGGAGGAGGCAGATGAGGAGGAGGAGGAGGAGGAGGAGGAGGAGGAGGAGGCAGATGAGGAGGAGGAGGAGGCAGATGAGGAGGAGGAGGAGGAGGAGGAGGAGGAGGAGGAGCGAAGGAGGAGCAGGAGGGAGACGGGAGAGGACGAGGAGCAGGAGGAGGGCGAGAGGCGGAGGCGGGAGAGGGGCAGAGGGCGGAAGAGCGCGCGCGGCGACGAGGACCCGCCCTCCGGCGGCCTGCCGCGCCGCGCGGCGCGCGCGGGGGCGTCCGCCGGCGCGCCCGCCGACTGCGCCGCGCACGCGTCCGCGGTCGGCACGGCCACGTGCCCCAGCGGCAGCACCCAAGAGCCGGGGGGCGCGACGGCCATCCTTGGGACCGACGTGAGCCCAGGACGCATCAACGACGCTGCAGTGAGCTTCCCCTCCAAGCTCCCTCTTCAGAATGTATATTCATTGTGGGGACCCACCGGCAGCACCCAAGAGCCGGGGGGCGCGACGGCCATCCTTGGTCGGCAGTGGGCAAACCTCCCTGTAGTAAACCTCCCCTTAGTGACAACGGCCTGGGGCCGCGAAACCGACGGACCTGGACCCGCAAAAGTGACGGCCGCGACGCCCTCTCGCGACCCGAAAACGGCCAATTCATTAATCGACGCGTCAGGGTAGGAGGTCTATCCACCTCCGACTTGGGCATCCGGGAGGAGGACCGACGTGAGCCCAGGACGCATCAACGGCGCTGCAATGAGCCTCCCCTCCAAGCTCCCTCTTCAGAGTGTATGTTCACTGCGGGGAGCCACCGGCAGCACCGAAGAGCCGGGGGGCGCGACGGCCATCCTTGGGACCGACGTGAGCCCAGGACGCATCAACGACGCTGCAGTGAGCCTCCCCTCCAAGCTCCCTCTTCAGAATGTATGTTCATTGTGCACCCAAGAGCCCGGGGCCGCGACGGCCATCCTTGGGCATCAAGGGAGGAGGACCGACGTGAGCCCAGGACGCATCAACGGCGCTGCAGTGAGCCTCCCCTCCAAGCTCCCTCTTCAGAATGTCTTTTCGAGAGTAGGTGTGAAATCCTCGTCGAACGTGGTTCGTTATCAAGGAATGGAAACCTAGGTTCAATATCTTTAGATGATACCATGTGGATTATTGTTCTGTAGACGGATCGAGCGCAGCCCCCCTCCTCCGGCCGAATCATTATCTTTCCAGACTAATCAACCCAAGTTCAATTGCGGGGAAATTGCCCGTTGGAAGACAGCCGGCTGAGAATCCCCAGCGGTGCCAAGGCACAACTCTCCTGGGCCGTCCGCACCGCAGAGATCGGCGCGGCAGCTGCGTCCTGACAGTCCTGAGGTTATGTCGGGCGTGTCCCCCTACAGGGGGATTGTCGACGAAAAATTAAAACTACCCCAAAAATACCCCCAGAAGGTCAAACAATGCAAAACAAAAAAAAGAAATAGTCCCCATACTATTTTTGGACTATCTTTTGTTATTTATGGTTTTTCGTCGAAAACCACCCTGTAGGGGGACAGGCCCGACTTAGTCCCGAGGCGAGAGCCACACGTTGAGAACGACCCGCCCCTGCAAACCGATGAAGCGAATGCGCGCGGCGCGAGAGCGGCTCCCCACTTTGCGCGCTTCGCGCTGCGCGAAGCGCGAAGTGCGAATAACTTCGCGCTCTCGCGCCGCCTCCCAGGAGAGAAGAGGAGGATGAGGAGGATGAGGAGCCGAACCGCGAAGCGCGAAGCGCGAATAACTTCGCGCCCTCGAGGGCGCCCTTGCAACCCACATGTTGGAAACAACCCGCCCTCCATCCGTGAGACTGTTGCAGCCTGTGAGAAAGAATTGTTCGTGGTGCTAAGGCTGGAGCCACATTTTGAAATCGCCCGCCCCCCACCCGTGAAACTGCTGCAAACTCATAGATTCAGGATCATGAACAGTTGGGAATTCTCCTGCGAAACACCCAACCCGCCCTGCCGAAGCGCCTGGGGGTGCGGCAGGCAGGATTGATTAATGAAGAAAACGAATCGGAGAGGAGGAGGAAGAGGAAGACCACTGCAAACTCAACATCCGTCAACGATGTCACAATACGTAAGCCTTCCCTCTGAGATCCTTCTTCGTAGGTCCCGACGAAAAATAATGTTTCACTCAGGGAAATGTCCCG